ATGAGTGTTTGTAAGTTCTATCATACTCACAGTACGTCTCGTACTATAAAAGCGATTGAGGAACTCTTGCTCTAGTTGATCCCAGCTATTGATAGATCCAGCCTCGAGGTCCGTGTACCAGTCAAAAGCATTTCCTTTTAGCGAGCGGACAAACTGCTTGATGAGGTACTCTCCATAAGTCACAGCATTGTTGCACGTCTCCACGAAGTGCACAACATGTTGCTTTGGGTTATCTTTACCATTAAACTGTTGAAACTTCGGAGGTTGATAGCCAGCAGGCATCTTCAACATATCGACCCTTGCAGTGTACGACTTTGTATATGTTAGGGAGGATTTGGCAGCAACTTTATATTTGTTCTTAATGGTTCCTTCGATGAACTCCTTCTGTTGATCGATTGGAATCATCCCTTCATATGAGACAGGGATAACCTTAGTGGATGCTGCTTGTCTTGGGGGAGAGTCACTCTCTAGAACTTCTGGGAGCTTGCCGGGTGCATGGGTGGATTCTTCATCCATCAAGATTCCCACCCTGTCTGTTAGCTTGTCAATTCTAGCCTCTTGATTTTGCATGCATTTGGTCAAGCCAGCGATTGCTTCCGTCAACTTTGCCAACTGCTCCTCCATAGGTGAAGTGTTTGTCACCATGACTTGCATGATTGTCGTGGACGACGGAGAGTAGCATGGATTTTCACACAGATTAATCCTAGATTGTCTCACGCTATGTGGTGTAAGTGGGGAGGATCCATCACTTGAAGCATCATCATCTTCCTTCACAGTAGAGTGCTTGGATCCGGAGAGGTCAAGCAGAGCAAGAGTTGTCTTGATCTTTTCAACAACATCGCTTCCTCCTTCAGATGCGTTTGTGGAAGATCTTGCTCCTTTTGAGGATGAAGATCCGAAAACAGGGGTTGATGCGGACGACACTTGGGGTGCTTGTTGTCCTAAAGAACTTGCGTTGCTCCTCGTGACTGGTCTGAAGCTTCCAAAGGTAACATCGAGGATGCTTTCCACATCAACGTAGAACCTGGAGTTAGCATCCTTGGTGGAAGTTGAACTGGAGTTGATTTTCTTTGAAGCCATTTCAATGTTCTTGGACTTTGGTGATTGAAAAGTTAAGATGGGAGGTAGAGATTGTCCCACTGGGCGTGCCAGAATTTGTAGACAATAAATTGCGTCAAGAAAATAAAATCAAGACCGAAAAATATCGCAACAATCGTAGTATTTTATTTTGAATATTTGAGTGTACAATCTCTATGAATCCTCTGATTCTTCTTTTCAATAGTAAATAAATTCAAGGGCCTTTGAGCTTGATCTTGAACCTATGTTTGTTGCCACGAACGATGATCTTGTTCTCGAGCATGAGCTTGATTGCTTGAACTTGACCTTGATTCGTTCTTCGTTCTTGAGCTTGAACTTGATATGTTCTTCGTTCTTGAGCTTGAACTTGAACTTGAAGATTGAAACTTGTGGAGGAATTTGTAGCGTTTGATCCACGAGCTCTTTCTTGCTTCTTGTTATAACTTCTGGTGTCTTTTCTGAGTTATGAAGACCCCTATTTATAGTTGTGGAAGGGAGGAGTAGTGATAAGAACAAATTCTTTCCGACCAATCAAATTAAAGTGTGATATGGCCGCATTTGATTGGCCAGAACATGTCACATGCACACGTGGCGGGATTTCATTGGCCTTTTAGTGTGACTTGGCATGCCCTGTCATTTTGGCACGTGGCATGATCCTATTGGCTCTTCCGTTTGACTTGGCGCGCCACGTGATTTGACACGTGGCACCAAACTGGGCCTCTAGGAAGATATCATCTTGGGCTTAATGAAATAGGCTCATCATTTTACCCAATTAAATGGGCTAGCCCAATGGATTAAGACTCATTTATTTAATCCATATATATTGAACCTACATAATTCATTCATTTATATATTAGCCCATAATATTTATTTGGACCAAAATATCTTGAATTTAAAATATAGTCTAAATTATTTCATGGATTTAATTTTAATGAACTTTGTATGCCTACAACTGCTTCTGAAACTGATTTCTTCATAAGTTGAACAGAATTTTAGCAGTTAAACCATTTGTACCCATTTTTCTTGAAATTAGACACAGGGTAGTAAACCATTGAGTGTACCCAAGACCCACTCTATTCATTAACTCAAGAAATAAGGATATATATATATATATATATATATATATATATATATATATATATATATATATATATTAAAATTAATAATTATATTAGCAAATAGAGTAGTGTTCTGACGGAATTTTTGAGTATAAGTTTGATAACAATGCCTAACAGTTAGACAGAGCAAGTGGTATCTATTTAAAATTAATATAGTTTTAAAGAAAATGAATTAAGGTAGTCTTTTTTCCGCTTTTGGTGGAAGGAACGCATTTTCTATTAACCAAACACTAGAGAAATGACTTTATCACCGCAAACATCTTCTTGGAAATTGACTTTGGTTATACCAAAATACCTATGTCCAAATATCAAAATGAGCTGTGTCTATCCTCATTCAACAAGAAAAGGAGCACATTCCTTTCTGTCGTCTTCCTCAAGACTTGCAATAAACTATTTTAGAGTATTCGCATTGATTTCTTTGATAGTGGTCCAAGATTTTCTGGAAAATAATGCTTTTATTTTACCAACAACAACAACAAACAACTATATCTCAGTCCCTAAACAAAGTTAGGAACAGTGATATCAATCCTCACTTTTTTTTTTTCTTTAAGCTCAGGTATATCATTGTTGTGCCGAAATAAAGTAAGAGTATTTAAATATATACATAAATAATACTCCCTATGTTTCAATTTGTTTGAAATTTTTGGAGTATAAGGGTCAAATTGTCTCATTTGAAATAAAATTTTACTTATTTAGAAACTACATAATAAGTACTATAAGTCACAATACATAATAATAATAATAATAATAATAATAATAATAATAATAATAATAATAATAATAATAATAATAATAATAATAAGCCCCACTTGTGAGATTTTCTGGGTTGTTGTTGTTGGTGTAATAATAATAATAATAATAATAATAATAATAATAATAATAATAATAATAATAATTCTCGAACAAATTTAAAGCCTATTCTTAACTAGTAAGTATCACCTTTATGATTTTTTTTAAAATTGACGGTTACGGATGATGAAAGAAGTCGCTGAAGGAGAGAATTTGAAGAAGGAGGTAGAGTGTTAGTGAGGTCGTCACTTGGCACTAACAAAAAAGGTTATTCACTCCACTGGTGCAACTAAGGCGCGCAACCTCTTCTAAAGCGGAACAAGAAAGAGCTCATAACCACTGCTTGTGAACAGCTCTCCTCAACTTAAGGCGCACGCGAGTAGTTGAACAAATGAGAGGTTGTCGACAAAGGGGTCAAAGGTTACGCTTGCGATAATTTGATGGTTGCGCAAGAACCCTTCAACCTCGCCTGCATGTTAGCTTGCTGGCGAATTGGTCGGTGAGCAAAGGGTAGTTAGGGGAGGAGGGTGGAGGTCTGATTGGAAGGGGGTTTTCTTTTTTTATTTTAACATATTATACTTTCTTTCTTTTTTGGAAATTACAATGTACAATTGAAATTTTGTTTGTCGCTTAAAATCACACATGTAATTATTTGATTGTCCATTTAACATGTCAGTTGGGAGTGTATATATGTCACGCGAGTTGTTTGTCCAACTTGGGCCAAGAAATATATTCTTGCGAAGAAGAAGTATCTATCTGGTCATTAGTTAAGCTGAAGTATCTAACTAATAGTTGGTGCCAACCTTAAGTGTCTATATGTATTTTGCCAATTTAATATATTAATTATCATTTTTATGAGGCTACTAATTATGGAGTAGTAATATTTATTTTGGAGATTTTCTACCCAAATATCTTATAAATTTACTTATAAATACTTTGACCTGGGAAAAAAGTTTTTGCATTCTAGGTATGCCCGCCTCTTTCTTTCTCCCCAAACCCTATTCACCACCCGCTCCTCCGGAATCCCCTCTCACTCGTCGTTGTGAGGTTAGTTCCTTTCTTTTATTTCTGTTTGACTTCATTTTCAATAAAGATGTTATAGTTGTGATTTTTTTCTTCTCTCAACTCCGAGTCATATATAATTTAATTAATCCAAGAGTTTACTACTTTGAAAATTGATTTCTTACATGGATTAATTGACCTCTCTGATTAGGATTACAAGTTAACAAAGTATCCATATATACCGATAAACTTCTCTATAATAATTTCGTTTGTTCCGATTATTTTTTTGGCATTTATAACGATTGTCTGTTATACACCTATAACAAATTAGATGTTTAGATATTATTTGGTCTTTGTAGAAAAAAGATTTCCAAAAAAATCAATTTTTTTTTTAATTTTATAAAAGATAAAATATTATTTATATTTAAAATCTCAATGAAATTATAAATAGAAATATATGTGCAGATCTTTGAAGGGTATGAAACTTTTAATGATAGAAATATGTATTCATGCGACAAGATTTTTTATGTAAAGTCAGACCTTCCTATACCGGTCACTCTATATAACAACATTTCATCATAAAAGTTAAGTTTTTTTCGGAATGAATTTTTCCTGTTATATTTTAGCTTTCTTTAACAGTTTTTTAAAACATATAACAACAGAAACCATCTTTATAAGAGTATGCTTTTTCTCTGTAATAACCAAATAAAAATGAGCTATTGTCTATCCAAAGAACACCGTCCTCTTGCGGCTGCCTTTTCAAAAAGAGAAGCAAACATAAATTCTGCCATAAACTGTATAATGGAATTTCTATTTGATTTTTCGTAGGTTATAAATATTTAGCTTATGTGTGAAAACTTTATAACTAACTCTTTTCTTGACAAACACCGCCACTTATGGCGTTAATTTCTTGACTAGAATATAAAGCTGGATTTGCATATGCAGCATGTGTAAAGCATTTTCTACGCAACCTTCATTTATTTTTGTTGGTTAAAATGGTCAGGACTTACAATCATGATGAAAAATACCTTTAAAGGACTTGAAGATGGAAGGGACAAATTTGATAGGCTTACAGATCTTCCTATTAATATCATACACCAAATTCAGGAGCACAAGACTATTGAGGATGCCGCAAGAATGAGTGTCTTGTCCAGTAAGTGGAGACATGTTTGGGCTTCAAACCCGAAGCTCAGAATTTCTGCAGACTTTCGCAGAAAGACAAACCAGACAGGCACAATAGACATCATTAATAGAAGTCTATTGCAGCACTATGGACCCATTAAGACATTTCTCCTTGATATTTCAATGATAAATCCTTCTGAGCACTCAGTTATTGATCTATGGATGCTACATTTGTCAAGAAATGGTCTTGTGGAGCTCACCCTTCGGAGTTTAGAATATCTCAATGCTCCTTATAAGTTGCCTTCCTGTGTGTACGCCGTAGAGCTAGAACATTTGAATCTCTCATACTGCACTCTCAGGCCACCTTGCAGTTTTGGAGGTTTCCACAAGCTCAAAAACCTTAAATTAGATATAGTCGCCTTTGAATTAGACGTTGCAACTTCTTTCCTCTTGGTTCCAAACCTTCTGGAACTGATGTTTGTAAAGTGCAGTGGTCTTCATCACTTGAATCTATGTCACGACCCGGATTTTTCACCCTCGGGAGTCGTGATGGCGCCTACTAATGTGAACTAGGCAAGCCAATTATTGAACAAACTACCTTTTTTATCCATTTTATACTCTTTAACATTTATAAAACAATAACGTGTAGACAACGGAAAATTTAGAATAAGAGGAAGAAAGCAATAAAATATCTAAACATGTAACTATTACAACTGATTAATCCTTAACCACCCAAAATTGGTGTCATAGTGTCACAGACGATCTAAGAGTGCTGAATACAAAGTCTGAAAATAAAGATACACTATTTTTGGATCAAAGAGATGAAATAAGAAATAAAGGATAGAGGAGAGCCAGGGCCTACGGACGCCTGTAGGTCTACCTTGGATCCGCGTGGACTGAAGGTAGCTACCCAATCTATGGTCCAAAGTCTACAGCACTGGGATCTGCACAAAAGAGTATAGAATATAGTATCATCACAACCAACCCCATGTGCTGGTAAGTGCCTAGCCTAACCTCGGCGAGATAGTGACGAGGCTAGTACCAGACTACCAAATAAACCTGTGCAATTCAACTATATACAGTGGAAAAGAAACAGGAAGAAACAGTCAAGTATGGGAGGGGTAGCATGCTGCGGGGGGAGATATCAATTCAGAAATAGAAAGACAACATGTAAATGAAAGAAACAATATATCTCGGATATCCACAGAGAACCAGAAAGCAATAAGTGCACGGCATCACCCTTCGTGCTTTTACCTCGTCCTCACCAAAACAATCAAGTAATGAAAATGTGCACGGCATCACCCTTCGTGCTTTTACTCTCGTCCTCACCATATAATCAATATAATCGGCACGGAATGGTACATCGTGCGGCACGGCATCACCCTTCGTGCTTTACACTCTTTCCTCACAATCATACACGGCATCACCCTTCGTGCTTTACACTCTTTCCTCACAAAAACAATGCACGGCATCACCCTTCGTGCTTTAACTCTCTTCCTCACCCAAACAAGAATCACAAGCAATAGGGCAAGGAAATAAATGAAATTACAATAAGAATCCCGGCAAGGGAACAATATTTCAACAACAAGTCCCGGCAAGGGACAACATCAAAACAACAACAATATCCCGGCAAGGGAATCAATATAGTGATTCTTTTCTCCTTTTCACCTTTGTTTCACCATTCACTTCACAACTCGAGCCAATGCTCAAAAAGGTTTCAATTAGCGCTCATACTTTCACAATTCGTTATACAACTTGAGCCAACGCTCCTCAATAATCAAACATCACAATTACTTCCACGAACTTTGCCCAACAAATAAAAATCATCACCAAGATATGAATAATACGATGAAGTCATAAAAAATAACATTAAGAGACTTACGGGCATGCTAGACACCAACGTATAGATACTCGTCACCATGCCTATACGTCGTACTCAACAATTACCACATAGCAAATAGGACTCGACTCCTAATCCCTCAAGCTAAGGTTATACCAAACACTTACCTCGATGCCACGAACACAATTCACGTCTCAATTATCGCTTTACCCCTTGATTCCACCACCAATTTGCTCGTATCTAGTCACAAGTTACTTAATTACATCAATAAACGCTAGATGAATCAATTCTAATGCAAGAAAATGAATTTTCTAAAGATTTACCCAAAAAGTCAAAAAATCGCCCCCGGGCCCACATGGTCCAAACTCGAGGTTCGAACCAAAACACGATTACCTTTCCCCCACGAACCCAAATATATAATTTATTTTGAAATTCGACCCCAAAACGAGGTCTAAATCCCAAATATATAAAAATCCCTAACTCTACCCAAATCCCTAATTTTCTACCCTTAAGAACATGATTTAAACCTAGAAATCTAATGGGTGTTAATGGAAATTGAAGAAAATGAGTGTAAGATTACATACCTATGAATTGGTTTTGGAATACGATCTCAATTTAAGGTCTAACCCCCCAAATTTCAATATTCTTAGGTTTTTCCCAAAGTTCCCAATTCCACCATGAGAACCCTAGGTTCTAGGATGAAATCTTGTAAAAAGAAGTTAAGGTGTAAAGAAAATGAGTTAGAAATCACTTACCAATATTTTGGAGAAGAAAGGTTGTTTGAAAAATCGCCTCTTATGTTTTTGGGGCTTTGAAAAATGAAAAATAATTGAAAATCTCGTTTAATATACCCCTCTCAGACCCCCTGTGCGGACCACTCAAAATCGAGTGCGGCCGCACAACTCTCCTTGTGGACTGCAGTGACATGCTTTAGTATTTTGGCTATAAAGTTCTCTAAAGATGTCCAAATTGTGATTTGTTTATCTTTCTAGAAACTAGACACGAAGGGCTACAACTTTCATTTTTGAATCATCTCAAAATTCCTTGTAGATCAAAAGATATAGGCTTCCGAAGTCGGACCAGTGAACCTGTGCGGACCACACAAAGTCGAGTACGGCCGCACAGCCCCCTCCGCGGACAGCACCAAAACCAATGCGGTCAGCACTGGCAGATTCAGAGATTTGCACTTCTCTGAACCTGCAAAATCCATGTTTTAAGCCTAAGACATCCTGGATCCTACCCGAAACTCACCCGAGCCCTCGGAACTCCAAACCAAGTGTGCGTACTAACTCAAAGACATCATATAGACCTACTCGTGCGATCACAACATCAAAATAACATGTTAAATCATGAATTAAACCTCAAAACTCAACATTTTCATCAAGAACCCTCAAAGTTCATAACTCTTCAACCGGAAGTCCAACTCACGTCAAATAAACTCCGTTTTTCACCAAATTTCACAGTTATCTTTCAAATACTATAAAAAGTTTATACCGGGCTCCGGAACCAAAATATGGGCCTGATAACAATGGTTTCAAACATTAATTCTTTTCTTCATTTCTTAGACAATTCAGTAAAACAATTTCTTTCAAAAATTTATTTCTATGGCTTGGGACCTCGGAATTCATTTCCGGGCATAAGCCCAAGTCCCATATTTTACTGCGGACCTCCCGGTATCGCGGGAACACGGATCCGGGTCCGTTTGCTCAAAATGTTTACCAAAGTCAACCATAACCAAATTTTAACTCTAGAAATTTCTATTGCTCATATTTTCACATAGAAGGCTTTCCAAATATAGGCCGGACCACGCACGGAAATCAAGGTGAGGTAAAAAGGAGGTTTGTAGACCTCGGAACACTGAATTTACTTACAACACAAGTGACGGTCATCATATTCTCCACCTCTAAAATAACCGTTCGTCCTCGAACGGACATAAGAAGGAAGTACCTGAATCGGGAAAAAGATGGGGATAACGGCTCCGTATATCGAACTCGGACTCCCAGGTCGATGCCTCAGCAGGCTGACCTCTCTATTGAACACGAATAGAAGGGAAATTCTTCGACCTCAACTGAAGAACTTGCTGGTCTAGAATAGCTACCGGCTCCTCCTCATAGGACAATTCCTTGTCCAACTGGACAGTGCTGAAATCTAACACATGGGATGGATCGCCGTGATACTTCCGAAGCATGGACATATGAAACACTGGATGCACGGCTGATAAGCTCGGCAGCAATGCAAGTCTATAAGCCACCTCTCCCACTCGATCAAGGATCTCAAATGGGCCAGTGAATCTAGGGCCAAGCTTGCCCTTCTTCCCAAATCTCATTACGCCCTTCATAGGCGACACTCGAAGCAATACCCGCTCTCCGACCATGAAAGCCAAATCTCGAACCTTGCGATCGGCATAGCTCTTTTTCCTGGACTAAGCGGTATGAAGCCTATCCTGAATAATCTTGACCTTGTCCAAGGCATTCTGTACCAGATCCGTACCCAACAACCGAGCCTCTCCCGGCTCAAACCATCCAACCGGCGACCGACACTGCCTACCATAGAAAGCCTCGTAAAGAGCCATCTGGATACTCGACTGGTAGCTGTTGTTGTAGGAAAACTCTGCTAAAGGCAAAAACTGTTCCACGAACCTCCAAAGTCAATGACACAAGCTTGGAGCATATCCTCCAAAATCTGAATAGTCCGCTCGGACTGCCCGTCCGTCTGAGGATGAAATGCTCTCCTCAACTCAACCCGTGTGCCCAACTCTCGCTGAATTGCTCTCCAGAAATGTGAGGTAAATTGTGTACCTCGGTCCGAAATAATAGACACGGGCACACCATGAAGACGAACAATCTCCTGGATATAGATCTCAGCTAACCTCTCGGAAGAATAGGAGACTGCCACAGGAATGAAATGCAGTGACTTGGTCAGCCTATCAACAATAACCCATACTGTATCGAACATTATCTGAGTCCGTGGGAGTCCAACAATGAAGTGCATAGTGATCAGCTCCCACTTCCACTCAGGAATCTCAATCTTCTGGAACAAACAACTAGGCCTCTGATGCTCATACTTAACCTGCTGATAATTCAAACAGCGAGCCACATATGCAACGATATCCTTTTTCATTCTCCGCCACCAATAATGTTGCCGCAAATCCTGATACATCTTTGCGGCTCCCGGATGAATAGAGTACCGGGAGATATGGGCCTCCTCTAAGATCAACTCTCGAAGCCCATCCACATTAGGCACACAAACTCGCCTTGCAATCTCAAAACTCCATCATCACCTAAGGTAACCTGCTTGGCACCTCCGCGCTGCACCGTGTCTCTAAGGACACACAAATGAGGATCATCATACTGCCGATCTTGGATACGCTCCAACAATGAAGAACGAGTGACAGTGCAAGCTAACAGACGGCTGGGCTCAGAAACATCCAACCTCACGAATTGATTGGCCAAAGCCTGAACATCCAAAGCAAGCGGTCTCTCACCGACCGGAATATAAGTTAGACTGCCCGTACTGGCTGACCTCCTACTCAGGGCATCGGCCACCACATCAGCCTTTCCCGGATGATATAAGATAATGATATCATAGTCTTTCAACAGCTCCAACCACCTTCTCTACCTCAAATTCAGCTCCTTTTGCTTGAACAAATACTACAAACTTTTGTGGTCTGTGAACATCTCGCACGCCACGCCATACAGATAATGTCTCCAGATCTTCAACGCGTGAACAATGGCTGCTAACTCCAAATCATGAACCAGATAGTTCTTCTCATGAATCTTCAACTACCGCGAAGCATAGGCAATGACCTTGCCATCCTGCATCAATGCCACACCAAGTCCAATACGAGATGCATCACAATAAACGATATATGGCCCTGAACCTGTGGGCAAAACTAACACTGGTGTCATAGTCAAATCTATCTTGAGCTTCTGAAAGCTCGCCTCACACTCATCAGACCATCTGAACCGGGCACCCTTTTATGTCAACTTGGTCATCGGGGCTGCGATAGATGAAAACTCCTCTACAAACCGACGATAGTACCCTGCCAAACCCAAGAAACTCCGGATCTCTGTAGATGATGCTGGTCTAGGCCAGTTCTTGACTGCCTCAATCTTCTTCTAATCAACCGTAATACCCTCTGCTGACACAACATGACCCAGGAATGCAACCGAACTCAACCAGAACTCACACTTCGAAAACTTAGCATATAACTGACTATCCCTCAAAGTTTGAAGAACCACTCTAAGATGCTGCTCGTGCTCCTCCCGGCTGCGGGAATATATCAAAATATCATCAATGAAGACTATCACGAACGAATCCAAGTAAGGCCTGAACACTCGGTTCATCAAATCCATAAAAGCTGCTGGGGCATTTTTCAACCCGAATGACATCACCAAGAACTCATAATGCCCGTACCGAGTGCGGAAAGCTGTCTTAGGGACATCGGATGCCCTAATCCTCAACTGACGGTAGCCAGATCTCAAGTCAATCTTTGAAAATACCTTGGCACCCTGAAGCTGATCGAACAAATCATCAATCCTCGATAGCGGATACTTATTCTTGATTGTGACCTTGTTCAATTGCCGGTAATCTATATACATTCGCACCGATCCATCCTTCTTCTTTACGAACAACACCGGTGCACCCCAAGGCGACACACTGGGTCTAATGAAACCCTTTTCAAGCAGGTCTTGCAATTGCTCCTTCAACTCTTTCAACTCAAGCGGGGCCATACGATACGGCAGGATAGAAATGGGTTGGGTGCCCGGAGCCAAATCAATGCAAAAGTCGATATCCCTATCGGGTGGCATACCCAGCAGGTCTAAAGGGAATACCTTAGGAAACTCATGAACAACGGGCACTGAATAAATAGAAGGGACCTCAGCACTAGAATCACGAACATAGGCCAAATAGGCCAAACACCCCTTCTCGACCATACGCCGAGCCTTCACATAAGAGATAACACTGCAAGTAGAATGACCAGGAGTCCCTCTCCACTCTAAACGAGGTAAACCCGGCAAGGCTAAGGTCACAGTCTTGGGATGACAGTCCAAGATAGCATGATAAGGTGATAACCAGTCCATCCCCAATATGACATCGAAATCAACCATGTCCAGAAGAAGCAAATCTACATGAGTCTCAAGACCCCCAATCACAACTATACAAGAACGATGGACTCGATCAACCACAATAGAATCACCCACCGGTGTAGACACATAAACGGGAGCACTCAATGAATCACTAGGCATGACCAGATATAGTGCAAAATAAGATGACACACACGAGTACGTAGATCCTTGATCAAATAAAACTGAAGCATCTCTGCTACAAACCAGAACAGTACCTATAATAACTGCATCTGAAGCCTCAGCCTCGGGCCTGGCTGGAAGAGCATAACATCGGGGCTGAGCCCCACCACCCTAAACCACATCTCTAGGACGGCCGGCTGCTGGCTGGCCTCCACCTCTAGCGGCCCGAGCTCCACTTCTAACACCTCTACCTCCACCTCTAGTGCCTCTACCCCCACCTCTAGCTGGCTGGGAGGGCTGGGGAACACTCGGTGCCTGAACCATGGCACGGGAACCCTAATGCTGAGAGCTACTTGGTGCTCGAGGGAAAAACCTAGCAATGTGATCCATATCACCACAAGTGTAACAAGCCCTCGGTTGCTGAGACTGCTGGCCTTGATAACCTGAATGACCACCCCGAAAACTCTGAAGCGGTGATGCACTGATAGGAGCTGGTGGTGCACTAAAGGATTGCTGATCAGAATACTGCATCTGAGGACCACGACCACCTGAAGCACCATGAGAAACCTGAAATGCCGACTGAAAAGGCGTAGGAGGATGGCCTCTACCATACGAATCCCTACCTCCAGACGAGGTACTACTAAATCGGCCTGAATGACGAGGCCTCTTGTCAGACCCATGACCACCTCCCTGTGATAGAACCATCTCAACTCTCCGGGTCACATTGGCCGCCTCCTAGGAAGATATCTCACTCCCAGTCTCCCTAGCCATCTGAAGACGAATTGGTTGAATAAGCCCATCAATGAACCTCCTCACCCTCTCTCTCTTGGTGGGAAGTATGATAAGAGCATGACGAGCCAAGTCGATGAATCTGGTCTCATACTGGGTAACAGTCATAAAACCCTGCTGGAGATGCTCAAACTGCCTCCGATAGACCTCTCTATGAGTGATAGGGAGAAACCTCTCCAGTAATAGCTGCGTAAACTACTCCCAAGTCAAAGCTGGTGATCCGGTTGGTTTAGCCAAGCAATAATCTCTCCACCAAGTCTTGGAAGATCCAAACAAGCAAAAAGTAGCAAAATCGACCCCATTGGTCTCTACTATCCCCATGTTCCTGAGAACCTCATGACATCTGTCTAGATAATCTTAGGGATCCTCAGAAGATGCACCGCTGAACGTAATAGTGAAGAGCTTGGTGAGCCTGTCCAATCTCCACAAAGCATCGACAGATATAGCTGCTCCATCACCGGCCTGGGCTACCACACCCGGCTGGACTGCTCCAACTGACTGAACTGCTGGAGCCTGAAACTGGGGAGCTACCTGCTGCGGAGTGCAAGTAGCAGGAGTCTGGGCTCCCCCTCCATCCTGAGAGACGGCTGGTGCTACAGGAAGCAAGCCTGCCCAGGTGACACTCTCCATAAGGGCCATTAGACGGAGCAGAGGATCCTGGAGTATTGGGGTAGCAATAAACCCCTCTGAGACCTAAGCTGGGCCCACCGGAACTGCTGGGGCCAGAACCCATCATCAAAGTCAACCTGAGGCTCTGCTGCTGGTGCTGCTGCCCCGGGCCGAACTCTGCCCCTACCTCGGCCTCTAGAATGGCCTCGGCCTCGCCCTTTGCTCCTCGTGGGAGCTGCTGCTAGGGGCTCGGGCTGCTGATCAGCGGATGAGGAATCGAACGTTCTCGGCATCTGCGAGAGAGCAAAATAGAAATTCAATCAGCATTGAGAAACCAAACCGCACGACAGGAAAGAAAAGATATGAACTTTTCCTTACTTTGTAGCCTTAATGGGATAAATACAGACGTCTCTGTACTGATCCCTCAGACTCTACTAAGCTTGTCTATATGTAAAAATTGAAATTTGTAGAATGATGACTGTGTTGAATCTCAAACAACCTGCCTGATGAGCTTTCCTCTCATAGTGATTCATTCCCATCTGATTATCATGATAAGCGTGAGTCTGGGTTGATCTTATACAAGCCTTTTCAAACTATGACGTTAATTTCTTGACTAGAATAGAAAGTTGGATTTGCATATGCAGCATGTGTAAAGCATTTTCTACGCAACCTTCACTTATTTTTGTTGGTTAAAATGGTCAGGACTTGCAATCATGATGACAAATACCTTTAAAGGACTTGAAGATGGAAGGGACAAATTTAATAGGCTTACAGATCCTCCTATTAATATCATACACCAAATTCAGGAGCACACTATTGAGGATGCCGCAAGAATGAGTGTCTTGTCCAGTAAGTGGAGACATGTTTGGGCTTCAAACCCGAAGCTCAGAATTTCTGCAGACTTTCGCAGAAAGACAAACCAGACAGGCGCAATAGACATCATTAATAGAAGTCTATTGCAGCACTATGGACCCATTAAGACATTTCTCCTTGATATTTCAATGATAAATCCTTCTGAGCACTCAGTTATTGATCCATGGATGCTACATTTGTCAGGAAATGGTCTTGTGGAGCTCACCCTTTGGAGTTTAGAATATCTTAATGCTCCTTATAAGTTGCCTTCCTGTGTGTACGCCGTAGAGCTAGAACATTTGAATCTCTCATACTACACTTTCAGGCCGCCTTGCAGTTTTGGAGGTTTCCACAAGCTCAAAAACCTTAAATTGGATGGAGTCGCCTTTGAGTTAGACGTTGCAACTTCTTTCCTCTTTGTTCCAAACCTTCTGGAACTGATGTTGTAAAGTGCAGTGGTCTTCATCACTTGAATCTATGTTACGACCCAGATTTTCCACCCTCGGGAGTCGTGATGGCGCCTACTAATGTGAGCTAGGCAAGCCAATTATTGAACTAACTACCTTTTTTATCCATTTTATACTCTTTAACATTTATAAAACAATAACGTGTAAACAACAGAAAATTTAGAATAAGCGGAAGAAAGCAATAAAATATCTAAACATGTAACTATTACAACTGATTAATCCTTAACCACCCAGAACTGGTGTCATAGTGTCACAGACGATCTAAGAGTGCTAAATACAAAGTCTGAAAAAAAAAGATACACTATTTCTGGATCAAAGAGATGAAACAGGAATAAAGGATAGAGAAGACGTCAGGGCCTGCGGACGCCTGTAGGTTTACCTTGGATCCGCGTGGACTGAAGGTAGCTACCCATTCTATCATCCAAAGTCTACAACACCGGGATAGGGTCACAATGAGGCCCAAACCCTGGGCGTATTCAATGCAAGTCTGACCTGGGCCATTTGGGCTTAGGCATTTGGACTTCACAAGTTGACCCAGCAGAATTTAATTCTTTGAATACAAATCTTTGTTCAATACGGTGTGAATTTTAATGTGTTAGAGCTAATTTTCAAATCAGATCCTGCATCAATGTTCCATAAGAATGGTTTGAATTTAATCGTATCTTCATTAATTAGTGTTTTGCGCTGGGCTCTTTGGAAATTAAGTCCAACGTGGGCTGTGCGTTTTAGGACCTGTAATTGTGACCCAGGTTTCTAGTTTATGGGCTTTATCGTAAGCCTGTTTGTCCACTTCCTTCATACTGATTTAGTAGGGGCTGTTCTGGCCCATTCCCTCTTTACCCAGAATATCTTAACAACCTTTCTCATTAATTAGTTAGCCTTTATTGAATTCAGTCCCAAATAGGAGTGTACTAGTTGACCTTAAATAATTAATTTTCCTTATAAGAGGAAATCACTCGGGGTGCGCCATGCTAATTAAAACCCCAAAATACGTGGCCCTTGCATTAGTTTCATAATTTAGATCTAACAAATATCAAATACTCGTAGTTATCTTTAGGCTCGATTTAGGCTAGTGTTGTGATTATGTATACGTTCGCGTAGCATAATTGCAAATTTAATTCTTAAAAGACTCGAGGGATGCATCCGCGCAACTTCAACCAAACTTTCCTTAATAAAATAAACAAAGCGTTATTAATTGTGGACACGTTCGCGTGACATGATTTTTGACGCGCCAAAAGAAAAGAGTATACGTACGCATAACTCAACTCTTTAATTACGAATAATTCAAATGATTTAAAAGAGGTAAAAGGTAAATGCACATAGGTCCTAAAATGAGTAGTTAAACAATTTAAGCCAAGTAATAATCGCTAAGAGATCGTGCTAGAACGACGGAACCCGGGAATGCCTAACACCTTCTCCCGGGTTAACAAAATTCCTTACTTAGAATTTCTGTTTCGCAGACTCTTTATAAATAAAACTTCCTCGATTTGGGATTTAAAAATAAACCGGTGACTTGGGACACCGTAACTTATTCCAAGTGGTGACTCTGATTAAATAAAATCCCATTTCGAATAATGTCACTTAAATTGGAAAAACTCCCTTATATACACTCTCAGGGTGTGTGTAAAAGGAGGTGTGACAACCTTGATATGCTATTTGTTATTTCAATTTCATTACTGTCATTATTACATTGCCTTACATTTGTTTAGTCTTTTTATTTACTTTAGCAGGGCCTTGACCTGACCTCATCACTACTCTACCGAGGTTAGGCTTGGCACTAACTGGGTACCTTTGTGGTGTACTCATGCTACGCTTGTGCAATTTTTTTTGTGCAGATCCAGGTACCTCCTACCAGCCCAGGCATTAGCGAGAGTTTAAATGCGGAGACTTCAAGGTATACCTGCCTACGTCCGCAGGCCTCGAAGTCCCCCTCTACCTTAACTATTTTATTTTAAATATACTTTTATAGATATTTATGTGTAGGATCATGCAGTACTTTTATTTAGAGCTTGTGACTTGTATTCGACGGGTCTCTGGAGTTGTATATACTGAGTCGCAGAGTTTATTTATTATAGTTGATGAGTTTTGAGACTTATATTTATCATTTCAGTTATTTCTGTATGAATGTTATGTTTAACTAGTCTTAGATACTAGGTGCCATCACAACATCCTATGGAGGGAAATTGGGGTCGTGACAAGTTGGTATCAGAGCTCTAGGTTCATAGGTGTTATGAGTGTCGCGCCCCCTTTTTTCCCTCCTTGCAGGGAGAAGTCCGAGTTTCGACATTCACGGGGTGTAATGACTCATTTCCTTTTGGGAATTGGGTATTTGAAGAGTCGCCACTTAACGGTTTATGGTGCGTTAGGGCACCTAGAGTGATTAACTCTTGAGTTGGTTTGCATTACCAGAGATTAGGGTAAGGGATCGAAGTAACCTCGAGGGGAAGGTGTTAGGCACCCCTCTTGGTCCACAACTGTGGGTCCCCGCCGAACTTATATTCACACATTAGTCCACATAAATAGTTGAATCAAATAAGTTTCTAGTAAGGCACATTGGATAGTTCAAGTAGTAAGATAAAGGTTTGAACAAGTTGTAAAAGACAGATCAAACTTTTATACCCAGAAGTTATAACCTAGAAGTTGCCTAGGGACTCTTTTAAAAGTTATTAGAGTCAGAAACGTTAAACAACAGAGAGAGTTTCAGGGGAATGCAGTTTTGAAAATGCCCCAAGGCTTGCTTATATGCAGCATACTAAGTCTATATTAATGCAAAAACAAACAGGTTTTCAAAATAGACTCCTTTAATACCTATAAGCATGGTATCTAATCAGATTAATGCAATTTTGAGAGAACTTGTTTCAGGAAATGTTAACGCTTAGTAAGACCAGCTTTAGAAATGAACTAGGCGTAATGAAATTGATTTATTAGGCTAAATTAAATTACCAAACAGAATTGCGAGTATAGATCCCTATAGGCATGATATCTAGGCGTATTACTGATTTTAGTCGATTTGCAGCAACATACAGAAAGACTTATTAGAACTGATCAAAGTTGAATCTTATGGGCATGACATCTATATTTGAATTGATTTAAGACGTGATTGTTCGGAGCCTATGAACATGGTTTTTAAAATGACAAAATGCAGAACCTTAGGAATATGATTTCTACTTGATGCAAACGACACTAATAGTGAAATCCTATAGGCATGATTTCTATGTGACGCTAACGAAATTAGAAGTGAAATCCTATAGACATGATTTCTTTTATGCAAAACAATCAGATTTAAAAGAGTAAACCCTATAAGCATGTTTTCTATTGAGTAAAGCAGACGGATTTTAAAAGAAGATCCTAAGAGCAGGATTTCTACCCATATTACCCCGTGGAGTATACATCTACCCACCCTTTTACTAAATACCCCAAATATCTATTTACAAATTATTACAAGCCAATGAATGAATTACATAAGTAAAATAGAAAATCAAGAAGCTATTCTATAGGGAGCCTACGATTAGGCCCAAGTTTCCCAAAGCCTCCAATGGTCTCATAAGCCTGAATTCCATAGACAAATCAGAGTCTAGGTGCATCAAAGTTCCCTAAGGGTCTCAAGGACCCCAAGAAATGTTTAAACCTAGACTTAGAAACCAAGAATTGAACCAGTGCAGAGTGGAAAGGCCAGCCATAGTATGCCAGGGTTCAGAGGGCTCTCAAGAGGATCCCAAGGCAGTACACATACTAGAGGGGGCAAAACTTATTGACTAAGAGTATAGTGGAAGTGCCGGACACAAATTGAAAAAGGGTTATGAAAGACTGTATTGGAAAGTCTGTTTTGAAAGCAATTAGTAAAGCAACAAAGATTGTTTGAAGAGAAGTTGGAGTAGTAAACAAGCTTAAAACACCTTAAGAAAAGACACACATAGCTAGTTTACAGAATCCAAATGAATTCAGTAGTCATACAGGGGTCAAGGGGTTTGGGGATACATAGACATTTGGCTGCATAACCCAGCAAGGGTCTTAAGACTGGTTTGGACATGCTCAGAAATAATTGACTCTGGCATAATCACACACCAGTCAGGAGAAATACAAACACATAGAATGGGTGATAAGGATTTGGGGTTCATATGGTAAGCACTCAAGAAGTAAAGACAACTGTCAAGGCATGCTTTGAAACACATAAGGGAATACCTTGATCTAAAGGGAAGGGGAGACATAATAGCATGAAGATAATGTAACTTAACTACAAGTTTCACAACAAAACCACAAGTAGAAGCAAGCTAGAAATAAAAGAAACTGAAACAATAAGAGAAGCATATTGTTGTTGGAGCTTTAAATCAAAACTAGGACATACCAGTGAAGGTAGAAGTAAGCAGAATGAAAGAACCAAAGAGCACAGATGATTAGCCTTGACTTGCAGCCGGCTAATAGTAGCAAGTACCATAAGAGAGAGGGAGAGCAGAGATCTTTAGTAAGAGAGGTAGTTTTTGAAAAACCAAGTCCCGTAACTGTTAATAAAAGACTTAGGGTATTTATAGTTTTGAATATTGGCAGAAAATAAGGTAACAAGTAAAGGTTTAGCACAAGTATGGAAGTAATCACAATTAGAATCAAATTAATACAAGTACTCCCCTTTAATCAAGGAACCACAGCTTGAACGGATACCAACAAGGTAATCAAGGAAAGAAAATCAGTTGAGAAAGACTAACTTTTACCATATAAAGGATAGTAAAAGTACAGAGCACATGATTGAGTCTAAGTACAGAATATACTAATTAAGGAAAGGATTCAGTAAGAGTGAAGTACCACAGAAAATAAGGAAACAGAATCAGTCAATTTAAACAGATGAGTAGAACCTTAGGGTTTTGAAAGAAAATCTTGAAATCAAACCATAAATTAAGGAAATCAGAATCAATCAAGAGGGAGTCATGATTCTGCACTTCAACATATAAATAGAGAAGAACGAACAGGCATAGCAAACATGCAAGGTC